GGATTTATATATTATATATATATATATATATATATATAATATATAAATCCATTGTTTAATATTTCTTTGATTATATTTTTATGTTATTGAAGCTTATTGAGTATTTTTTAATTTTGGTTTGTAAAAACATCCAGTTGTGATTTATTAAATTGGTCCAGATGAATTTCATAAATTCTATTCAATATCGAATAAAACGATCTTTCCTGTGCTCGACATCGGAAAATTCCAACGCGATACTTTACGTCGTGCAGATAAAATAACAATGTGTTGAAAAAATTTGCAGAACACTTGATACTACTGAGTGGTCCTCGCGTATATTAACAAAAAACGGAAGACTCCATTTGCTTTCTCGTGTACAGACAGGGATAGTGCAGAACGGAAGGGCATGTGAAACGAGAGAGAAATGGGAGAAAGGGGAAAAGTTGGTACGGGTGTAGGGACGACAAGAGGACAGATTCTGGCACACAATGTGCTGGAGCGGCGGAAGTGCTCGAAGAGGCGCTCAGGTTTTGAGTTATGACACTTTTTGAGTCGAGGAGTCGCATTGTGAATGGCGCATCCGGGTCCAGCGTAATATCCTACCTCGATCTCAGAGCCGGGTGGCAATAAATCTGCCTTAAATAAGATTTGCCGGCGACACTCCGGCGAAATAAAAGGAACGGAGGCGGCAGGCGACGCAGGCTGCAGGATGCCAGCTTGTTACTTCTTCGACTTGAACCCGTTGATGTGCTTCGCTCGCCAGTTCATACCAGAGTTAATGAGTAGCCTAGAGTATTCGTCTTCATCCTAATTGCGAGCGCGCTACAGCAACGGCAGCGGCAACAGCAGTTTCTTTGCCCTCAATTTCTCGTCTACTGTTGATGACTCTTGCCGTATAAAGGAAATGACGAAGTACACCTTCGCCGAGACCCCTTTTTACGAACCTTCGCACTTGAAATTTATTCTCTTTCGTCGAATAAATTATACAAATAAGCAAGTGATAATGCAAGCTGTACTAAGAACACGTCATCAAAATTATAATAACTTTAACTGTAACAAATATTTTAATAAGTTAAATGAAAATTTTAATGTGATTTTTTTTTCGAAGTATTATTGACAATTAATATATATTTTTAATATTTCATAATTAATATTTATATTATAAATATTGTTTATATTATAAATATATTGTAAACTTTTCTTAACAATAACCATTTTCAATAATCATTCTTTAATATCGTGTGTTACAAATATTAAAAATATTAAATAAGCTTGCTATTAACATCGCATTTTATAAATTGTAACTTTATATCTTGATTATTATCTTTGTATACGGATAATTTGAACGTGATGTCTCAATTATTATTATTTTATTATTCTTGTTATTTTATTATTATAGCATAAAAAACACATTACCGTATTAATCTTAATAGCAGATATTATGTCATATATATTCCGAGAACATACATTCTATGCGGCAATGTTCCATTTTTTATTACATTTATTTTGTGTTGACAAATTTTAGTGGGAAAAATGTCCAGAGAAATTATGTTAAAGCAAATTCATTTGGCTACAAAATATAATTTTCTTTTATCAAGCTTAGTTCACGAGAAGTCCCTCTTATTTTTAATAGCTAATTATTTTACCATAGCAGTATAGATCTTTTTCTTGAGAAGATTTTTCAGGAAAAATTAATTGGCTCAAGAGTCTTTAAAAAAAATAGTATGGTAGAAGAACAACGTTCTGTATATGAGTCTATTATTTCCTTTCTAGTCTGTTCATAACTAGAATGTGTTACAGTAAATTAATTAAGAGTTCATTTCGAAGTAATTAATGCTCGTCGAGTGAAGAAATTCACGATTCTATCTAGCGCATAAACCGAGGAGTTATCATATCATGAGAATACCCGAATAAATGCTGCAGAACGAAAACGACGGCAGTTCTGCGATTGCAAATTATGTATATAGTTTCTCGAGTTTTATAGTCTCTTGAAATTATGAAGTTGTATTATGAAAGTGACGGCAATAAATCAGGTTCAAGATTAAATTGTAGGAAATATGATTTGTTGCTGACGTAAAATAGTGGGGAAACGCATAAGAGAAATTCCAGTAGTTTACATCTGAATTTATGTTGACGTATGTGCTTTTTATACGATACTAATTAATTATTTACTTCGCATATTTATCAATTTTTGTTTGCTCTAAAGGCAACTTCGCGGAAGAATTAGAGTTAGAAAGGTTAAACTTAAGCTTTAATAAATTTAAATTATCTTTTCTTTATTGGTCACTAATATTTTATTATTAAAAAAAAAAAAATTTTTTTTTTAGCATAAAATGACATTAAAAAATATTTTAAAGTATCATACCGGAATAGAAAATTAATAAAGTTAAATCAGAGAAAGCAAAGACACACTTTTGCTAATGAAATATTTAATTAATTAAGAAATAATAATAATTTATTACATGAAGCACCGCTACTAATTTATTTTCACGGGAAACGGGATTAAACGCTAACGACAATGAATGTTATTCTGTACAAGCTGTATAAATGATGTAATTTGGCAATTCCATGACAACCACACGATTAGTAAAGTCTCGCCCACCAGCAGCCGCGATAATTGTCATTTCATTTCGCGGACAATTATTGGCGTATCTTCGGCGCGGACATGTCAGCCGCACTCGCGTGTGCAATCCCCAGACAAATTTTGTAATTTCATCGCGCGCGCGCGCATCATATGGGCCATCGAGACCACTCTATGAAATGCAATCCGTGTTTCCGTCTGCATCCTGCGGGACAGGCTCTCACAACACGAGACAGTTCACGCGTGGAAACAGGACAAATTGGTTGGCGCGTACATTAGACGATAAATCACCATATTTCATTTTATTTTACCCTTTCCCATCGGGAAAATCTGTGGATCGTATGCCCGCATTTCTGACTGTCATCTTATCTTCCCGTTTGCTTTGCTAATAGCAAGTCTGCATGCACATTATACAATGATCCAAAGTGACTAGCTTAACCTGTAGAGGATCGGAGGCCTCTTTAGGGACTCGATAGTGGCGTCATCTTTTTTGCCACTCAACCCCATAATATTGACAAAAAAGTTCTAACCCTTAAAATAAAAAAGTCGACCAAAAACATACCGGTCCTCAGAAGGTTAACTATCTCTTTATGAGATATTTGATTTTATAATATCTTTGAATAAATTATACCTTTATATACCTATATAAATCAATTGTTATTAATATGCTAGTGATATGTTCAATTGTGCGTGAAATGTAATTAATATTTATTTCAATAATGTTTCAATACACGACTACATTAAAATAATAAATTAAATCTTAGAGCACATTATAAGTGTTAAGTACAGTTTAAATTTAAACACTTTTACGAATTCGCGCCAATGTTGAATGAACGCGAAGAAAGCCACTCTCAAGATAAATCCTAGAGATCAGTGTTATGCTCATCGTCTGCATAACATGATACCGGGATGCTTCCTTTTATCCGCGGTCGCGCACGCGCCAAAGCATCGTAACTATTCTGCACACTGTAACTACGTCGAGTGTCTCCGGGATAAATTCCAAGGAAATTGTTCCGCCCAGAGAAAGACGAATAGTTCTGTTTGTCCACGAATTTCGAGCCGTTCTCTTCGCCAGCGATTCTCACCGCGCGCGTCTCCGCTTCTCTCTTCGTTTATGGGTCAGAATCTTAAGCTTCAACATCGGCCGTAAGATGTAACGCTATGTGGCGTTAGGTCGCGTCACGTCTTGGTGCGATGCAGGACATCCCCTTGACCTTATTTGTAGCCTGGAATCCCAAAACAACTGAAGCATCCTCGTGAGCCGCAGAGCTGCCGGCAGATATTCGCTCGAAAGTTTTCGCGTAATTGCGCGGAGATAGAAGTGTTCCAAGAGCAAGAGCGAAATAGAGAGCACGCTGTACCGTCCAAACGGATGCGGGTGCTTGAAAATGCGAAATTCGATGGAAATAAGACGGAAAGACGCCGCTACTCGTCAGAGTTACCGGTGAATACCTCTTCGCGCTCGAATCAAAAGCTTCGTGGAAAATTGCCCGCGTGTTTCGTAACTGGATGTTTGCATATTTTGCGACGTCTCTACTTGGTTCG